GCGGCAATGCCAGCAGCAACACCCACAGCGGAGCCTCCCGCGTGCGCCTAGGGCAAAGACCCAGCCCCCCCCCCCCCCATTCACATCAACAAGTCAAGGGACACGGAACGAACCCGTTGCGCCCTCGGAGTCCGCTCTGGCGCCCAAGCCAATGGTGACCTTCGCAAACAATTGATGTTTGGGCGCCCGATGGCGCACTTCCCCTTCTTATTGCTCGGCGGAGACAGCGCCAGTGCTGCTGCACATTAGCACGCAGAGAAGGAACAGCGGCACCGCGGAGGAAAACAGACGCCGGGGCATGTTGGGCTCCTCTCTTTCGTCCCTTTTTGCGGTGGATCCGCTCAGGCCGCAAACGGTTGTGTGTGTGCGGTGTGTGTGTGTGCTGGGGACTTCAGGGACTTCAAGGCGCCCAGCAGCGGCAAACCGCGTTTGGTCTCGCTTTCCTTCCGCGTGCGTATACGTGAGCGAAGGAAGAGGAGAAGCAGAAACAAAAGACAGCAACAAAACGGAGGCGTGTCAGCACACCGGCAGGAGAGGGATCTAAGAAGAACGGCGCGACCTCACACACGGCAGCGGCAGGCATCGCCCAGGCCGCAAAAGAAAAAAAAAGACGGAGAAGAGGAGTGACGACTTCCCGCACGACCCCCAAAAGAAGGAAAAAAAAAAGAATTACTTCGGCAGGTGGCGCTCTTATACTTCACGTGTCCAGCAGCAGAAGAGGGCTGTGGGTGCGTGTGTATATTTAATACCTGCACGAACCAAAAAAAAAAGCATCGTCCTGTGGCATTAGCCCACACATCCCTCTCGCACATTTCATGCGGCCTTCTCTCAGCTCTTCAGCCGGGCGGTGGGGTCAAATCCGTGCGGGGCGCACATCAATGCGGCCGCCATCACGTGTGTGTGGGCAGCCCAAAAGGAAACAGGAGGGGAAAGCCGTGACGCACGACAGTGCATATAGAAATCGATCATTGGAGCAGAGAAGGGAGAAAAGGGGCGCCGGTTACTCCATAATGGCGCCAGCGGGAAAAAACAAAACAAAAGCAGGAAAAAAAAGATATAGATTAAGGAAAGAAAACATATATAAGCGAGGCCGGCGTGGACCGCGGCAGTGAGTCCCCGTGTGAAGCCACAAATACATAATTCCTTTCCTTCAGCAGAGAGCCGCAATGCCACAAAGCCCCAGAAGAGTCAGCAGCATTACCCGAGACAGACCCCCATGCACACTGCCGTCACCGTTTCCGTCATTGGGAATGAAGCCATTAGCGTTGTCGCCATTCGGAAGCGGTGGGACGTTGGGTACTGTCGGTGTCCCTTCGGGTCCTGCTGCATCACCCGTATTGTTCGGCACAACGTCAACGCCTGGCAGCGCCTCTCCTCCTTGGCCTGAAACGGGAGGTGGGGGCTGATCGGGCACAGCGCCTGCAGTAGTGTTATCTTCCTTGGGCACCTCTGCGCCTTCATTCTGGGAACCATCTGGCACTGGCTCGACGCTGGGGGAATTTACATCGTCTTTGTTGTCGGGAGTGACCCCACCGTCGGTTCCCCCAGAACCGCCTGTTCCCGCTTCCGGTTCCGGATTCGGCTCTGATGGGGGGCCCTGAGGCTTCGAAACGGCGTCGTCGTTTTCGCCGCCGGCGGGGTCCTTGTCGGGCAGTGAACCGCTCTCTCCCTTGTCCTCCTCCGGCGTCGTCTCGGGCGCAGCCACTTCACCACCGCTAGTCGGCGGCGGAACCTCCGGCTCTGTCGCCGGCCGCGGAAAATCGACTTTGCCGGCGCTGAGCTTCCGCACCGCATCCTCAGCCAGCAGGTCGTTGTACAGCAGGACGTTGGCCAGCGTCACATTTTGGCTGCTCGCCGCACCGCCCCCGGCGTCGGCCCCAAAGCAGAAGTGCGAGATCCTGCTTGCGTCGAAAATAGAGTCGTCGTGGGTGTCACCGTAAATCTCATCCCCGTCAACGTACACATACCACTCTTCTGTTTCAAACTCCAGTGTCACTTGGTAGGTTTGGTTGGGTTCCCACTGCTCCAAAGACTCCTCAGCCTCGCCGCCATGAGGTTTGGAGAGCCACTTCCGCTCATGGTTGTACGACAGCTCAAAGAGCACAGTGTTGGTTGAGTCATTCATCTTCACCCGCAGCAAAGGGATGGGGCTGTCGTCCTTCTCCGGCACCGCGTGGATCGTCACCGTCGCCGCAAGAGCGAACTTGTTGTTCGC